AGATTTAATAACAAGTATGCCTAGGCGTGTTGCTGCTGTCCTAAAAGCCAAAGGTGGCCACACAAAATATTAATAAAGCACTATTTTCAAAAATTTTTACATAGGTTACAAAACCAGCTCAATGCACTAATAAAATCTAAAAAATCATAACTCTTGAAGTACTGAGTCTTTTCAAATAAAACAAAAATGAATTAGAAGCCAGAATGCAAGACTATATTCAGTTTAAATTCATGTAAATTGGTTGGATATTTGTGGAGTTATAAGCCTGCACATTTAATTCTTTCAAACTTTGAGCTGGTTTTGTAAGTCACTGTATGTCACAAAACAGAATGTTCACTTTGTCTGGTTTTGTTGCAGTCTCCCCATATTAATATATGAGGTTAATATTAATATATTAATATGATCGTCTGCGTCTGAAGATCCGTGCATGCAAGTGATAACTCATCATTGGGACACATAAACAGAATGTATTATTATTATATTTTTTAACAGCAAATCCTGATTATATATATAGTCAATAATTCGATTTTATAAAACTTTATTGCTTAACTACTATACAGCTAATTTTAACATGATAATGATACAACTGACTCTTTATAGTCAATAATTCCGACACTTTTTCCGACACTTTAAGCATATTCTGCATACGGAGTGGCCATTCATCAAATCATCGTCAATTATAACTAACACAGATGGACTAATTTGACTAGCGCATAAAGTATCGGAAAAAAGTGTCGGAATTATTGACTATGATCAAATCCTGCCTTCGACCCCTTAGTTGCTGGAACTGGATAAATAGAATCAAACGCAGATGGAAGAGTTTCCTTTAAACCGTTCCAAGTGTAATCGCAATGTTGTCATGTATATTAATATCGTTTCAATACTTCTTGGAGTACATGATTTCCTTTTTGTTAAGTGCATAAGTAATGGGCCAAATTTAAGATAAATTTTACCAAAAAAAGCAGTTTCCGCTCACTATATAAATAACTAAACTTTGAACAGTTATATCTCAAACCATTTGTCAATTTATCTAAATATAATTTGTTAACATTTATCAAGAAGAACAAAATAGCGTTCAATTATTAATAAAGTGGCGCTTATATTATTGTGCGAGATGCATCGTTGATGCATACTTGTGTCCCCCGCCATACTAATAAAACTGAGGGAATGCATGATGGATTACAAACCTGTTGTTTGTACAATTCATAACATTGCTTTGCTCTATCTAAAGATTTCCGTTGGATTATCACAAATTCTGTTAGAGAGCTAGGAGGTTACGCAATATCCGTTTCTTTCCATCAATTTATCAAGATTTCGAAAATGAACCTAACAAGAGCCATAAAAAGACGAATTGATTAGTCGGATTCAGAATGAATATTCGTTACAACAAATAGACTCACGTCTCGCGAAGGCAAACTGGATGAAAGATAAGTCCATCACACTCGTGCAAAGTCTGGATAATATATGGGTCAGGTTCGACTGCTTCTTCCATCAGCTGATAGTTGCTGTAGTCAAAAAGTTATAATTCCGTTCAAAAATCAAATTTTGCGGTATAACACAAATTTGTTCCCCGGCTTCAGTTGACGTATATCGTTCATTAGTTGCAAGACATAATATGGCAACACAAAGAGTGAATAGGTGTTGTTCCGCTAACTGTTGAAAGGTGCCAGCCCGACTGAGGAATCAATAGAGATAAAACAAAAACAAAAACAAAAACGGCGGCAATACAATTGATACAGACAGTTACGAATATTTATACGGGACTAATTATTCCCCAACTTCGTAACTTGCCAATCTCCAGCACAATACCAAGTGTGCAGAACACTCATTTGAATCAAAATAATTCTTGCAAAAACTATTGTATTAATATTAGCTTGAAGTCTGTACAACTACATAGTTATATTTGAAAAGCATGACCAACTGGAAAATCTATAGAACTACACATTATTTATATCTAGGATAAACCATTCGCGTTGGGAACATTCCAAATGTAGTTTATCCTAACATTCGATTCTCTCAAACTCTACATCGACTCTCTGAAATCCTTCATCAAGGCTAAAATCGCGTTTGCCGACCCAAACAGACACCCAATAACACCTATTGTCATAACAAACATACACCAGATAATCTCCGATGTTGTCACCGTCTTCCATCCATATAATTTCAAGTAAAACACTACAGGCAACACGAATACCAAAAGACAGTTTGCGAGTGCTCCGAGGAGGGCCATAAAGTCACCAAAGAATGGGACGATCACGGCCACAAAGACGGAAACAACGACAAGAAAAGCGCGGAGGAGGAAACGAAACAAAAATTCGGCACCAGGTGTGAGATGATCTCGAGTCACTTTGAGCGTTTTCTCGGCATCGTGAGCAAAGGCAGTCATGAGAATGGGAGTCGTAAAAAGAACGTGGAGCGTTATCATTAACGTTGCTATGGTTAATGCGAGACCTGTATGGAACAAGCAAAATCATCAAGTAAATATCATCCCAACAACGGATCCACGCAATATGCGACCTAATCCTTACCATTCGGCACACTAGAGAGCACAGGACTAGCCACGTTATTGCCATAAACAGCATAGGCAACTCCAGCCGTTATCAAGTTAATGACTGCACACGTCGATAGCGCACCAATGACTACTTTTCCCCAATCATTTGGCTTTTGCATAGCTTCTTCGATGTGAGGAAATACGATATTGCCACCGAATGAGAATGAAATCGTGGCGAACGCCACGGGAAATTCCGAGAACGATATTATTTGGTGTTCGGGCGGAGGCAGATCAGAACGGTTGCCCGGAGTGTCGAGAATAGAGAGAACGATTACCACTAGAATGCAGAATAATGTTGAGAAGGAGCCGAAGAAGCTAGAGACGAGAACAGTAAAATGAAAGAGTTGATATTGTGTCAGATGCTTGTTTACAGTCACCACGAGAGAGTTAAACCTATCGAAAAGTTTCGCTTTTTTCCATCTCAATTTGTTGGCAACAAACCTCAAAATCGTAATCTCCTTTATTGTCTTCATCGTAATAAACGGAACAGCGACCAATAACCCGCAGATCATGGTCCATATTGTAATCCCCAATTCTATGCTGAAATTGTGAACGGCAAGATCGTTGAGATTCTGTGCTGCAAATATCAAGAATAAAACCGGAACGCCAAGGAGAATGATATCATTAAAGATGCCAGCGACGTATTTGCCGACATTGCCATAAGCATGATAGCCTATTTCAGCGTATGACGTTAAGCGAGTATGGCTAAAATATGTAAAAGGAGTAGATGAGTATTGGATAAGAAGGGAAAAGGGAAATGAGAGGTTGGGGGGAGAGAGGAGGGAGGAACAATCAACGTAATCATAGATTGAACGCCATTTATTTATGCTCACCTGTTGTAATGAAGACACTTGATTAACAAGATGCTGGTATAAGTGGTAGCAACCATTGCAAGTACGATGAGCCCCATACCGATCCATCCACTCTGCTTCAGCGCGTAAGGTAAGCCCAAAATGCCAGTTCCAGCAACGATGCATCTAAATTTTGTTTAAATCGATCACATTAATCATGACCATCTACCTTTTCACTTGAACAGAATGGTCGAACATGTTTAATAACGTACACAATGTCAATATAAGCCGCAAAATTAGAGCCACCAGCTGAATTCCCGCCAGCGGGGTCTATATGTGTGTCGTTGCGTTCGATCTCTCGTAAAAGAGGGGTATGCTCGGTTACGCGTTGAGTGTCATTCGTGGATAGTGATGTTGTCAGCTGCATTTGAGTGCAATTTGTTTATGATTTATAAAGGGTAAAGGGGAAAGTAGTTCAAATTAACGATTAAAATAAATACTGAGGGAAAAGAACGGTTTCGCCTTTCCCTTTTGGTAATATTATATATTAGTACTAATGAGTCATAGTCATTGTCGTCTTTTTAAAATCTTTTAATTTGATATCAAGATTACAGTATGACTACAATTCACTATAATTGGATTCCGTACTCCTACCTAAAGTATAATATTCTGTTACACTGTATTATGAAGTTATCTCGAACACTTGCAACTACCTATACGTTATTCCACAGACATTATTCATTTCCTTCCTCACTTTTTGCATTATCGTCATATTTGTTGACTAGTCGTTATGGATTTGCTTCCATGACGTCAACGAAGACTGGGCGAGAATAAAAGATCTGTTAGAGTATGTTAGAATTCGGTCATAGGGATGCTATGCGTAGAGGATCTCAATTAATGTGATTTTACAGCGAAGCATCTGATCTTGAAAAGGGAATTGAAAAAAGCTAGACTACCAAAGACGTCAACTCAAGAATTGATTGAGAAAGGTAGGATCTAAGGCGCAATTCTCGATTTACTTCGCCCCTTATTGTAAATAAGCAGCCACAAAGCCACGAATAGCAAATGGCTTATTTGGAACTGAATAGATACTTAGACATGGGAACGGGTTTTTATCCTACGCTGGTCAATACATTAAGATAAACGAGTTGGGCTATTGGAATTGGTTTGTAGAATTCTCAATATCTATTAAAAATTCGTTTGAAATATGTTTTACTTTAAACCACTCAAGCTATCTACGTACAACATTTTTCCATATCAAAGATCTTTTACTCTCCACATCAGCCTCTTCTACGTCCCAAGCCTCGCCCAGCCCCGTCTCACAAACGTTTATCTCCCAAAACTCGTACGGATATTCCTCACGCAAGCAACTTTCCGCAGAGTGTATACAACGATGTTTGATCAATTTAGGAGATTTCGCGAGATATAGAGATGATGCAGAGGGAAACAAGAAATGGGAATTTGCAAAGAGGTTTTATTTTAACAGCTGCTAGGGTGTTTCTCGCCAATGGTAAGTAAGCCCATTAAGTTTAGAGAAGAATATGCGAAAGGGGATGCTGCTATCGAATTTGATATGATAACGTCTGTTTAAGTCAGTACGTATCTTAGCATATTGCGATGACATTAATAGTTACTTTCATAGGAAAGGCTCAAGGTCAACTTGGGCTGTTCTGGCCGCGTATTCCGAAAACAATCTCGATATTGTCTACTGGGATACTTTTAGGTGATTTTGATGTGTTATTTATCTCTTCTAGTAGCCTGCTTATTATAAAGTCTTTATGCTCTAGTCTTGCAACGAAACAACCATCTTTAATTGCCAAAGACAATCTGAAGAACTTTTACATACAGTTCGCGATACGTTCGCCCGAGATGGTGTTGAGTGATTCCGAGATGTAAGTGAAAAGTAACAAAATACGTAGTTGATTTTATTTGGCATGAATTCTTGGGATATATGCTTGAGTATTAGATATCGTTGATACACACTAGTCATGCTTTACTTGTGAACTGAATTTGTAGAACGGAGGTTAATAACATTAAGCTTGTATGGCAGTTTTTATCAGTTCACGTATGCTTGTTTAATCAAAGTAATATTAGTTGCTTTGTGCTTCTCACTTGCGTTATGAAATCAATATTAATCGACCCTAACAACTTGAGTAGTCTTCCCAAGCGCTTAAATGAGCTCCTAGAGACGATAGAAACGTCTATCCTTTCCGACGAATATAGAGGGCAGATATGCTACTAAACCAACAAGTAAAGAAGCAGCAGCTTCGCTGGACGCGGTACTAGCGCTAATGCTAGTAATGCGGAGGGATATAGAAGAACATTACAGCAAGCTGCTTTCGCTGTTGGATTCGCATTATGTTTGCGAGCAATTCAAAGTATAACGGAGGGATTAGAGGATAACGTCGCTCAGATGTTTATTACGCCAGCATAAAAGCGGGCTACTGTATTGTTTTGGCTCATTTGTCATGAATTCTCTCCCAACATGCCTATACTATTTGGCATAAGACGGTTACCAGTTTTCTTATGGCTCGCCCTTTACTTTCTTCAACTTCTCAATCTCCCCTACCACACGCAAAGACGTCAATGGTCTGACCGAATCACGTAAGAGAGTTCTAAACGTGAGACGTTTTATCAGGAGATATTGACGCTAGTACTAATTCGAAAATAACATAATTCATGAAACACGAATGCGTAAACAAAACCAAATAAATCCGCCTGCAAAGGCAAGATGTAAATGATGTGGCATTAACCCAATTTTTGTTTTGATGATGTACTCAACTGCCTGATAATCTTTGTGCACATTCAACTTGCCGCTCCCATCACAGATTCCCGTCTTCTTCCTATCAAATTTTTGCTTGCTACAAGTTTAAAGAGATAAGGCAACGCCCACTCAAGGGGCGAAAATCTACGCACATCACCGTGAACGAGAATAAAATATGTATTTAATTACCAGGAAAACTGGGTATCAGTATACGAACTTGGGGTTAATGGGGCATGTCTAAAGCGGAGCAGATCCCTCGCAATTCCATTGGTCAAATTTGTATGGCAGCCAATAAAACTGCAAATACAGGATCACGTTCTGCTCCGCTTTAGCCTTTCCCGGTTAATGGAAGGTCTGTGTCACCCAGTGTCTGTGACATCTGTTTTGATGATAACCGTATCAAGAAACACGATAAGAGTCTTACTATCCCGAATGTACAGTACAATGTTGTCATACGGCTAAAATTAATTAAGCGGGGACTACTAAAGTCTCTACTATCATTTGTGATGGACACAACCGGTTATCTCGTTAGCGAGACTGTTTAATCTAAGAATTGTAGTGGTACGTTATACGTAGGCGGTAACTCTTAATAGGTGATGTAAAAAGAACTTTCAAAAATCTTTTCTTTAATTATTGGTTGACAAAAATCCAGTATGTTATCAATAAAACGTATTACGATTACCTGTTAACGGGTATTTTGCAATAAATTTACGCATTTAGAAATTTCATTACCTTTCTACGGATGCTAACGTCATATGGTAACATCAAAACTCGAACAATTCTTGTGTTAGATAACACAAACACTATCCGTTGATAAAACATCTTGCCAATTGTGCATCTAAATACTGTATACGCCAAGAATGGTATACGTGGCGTGTTGTGTACTAAATTATTAATAGCCAGTTTACTCTATAGGGCAATAATATTATTTACTTACGCTAATACCAATCTTTAATAAATGTTCAAATTGATAAATTATAAGGGGTGAGAAGGTCTTACGTGATTATATATCAGTGACGGTTAAACAAACGCTCTGGGATGCATCACAACGCGTTCTATTAAGAAGATATTTTTAAACAAAGTAAGAGGTCATTTTTTATAGCATAAAAATTTAGCAAATAGTTTGACCCTATTTTTATTAGTGCTCAATTTTACATTCTTGTTTACAAAATTTGCTGTAAGCTGGGTCTCATTATATTTGATAAAACCGAACGCTCCATCATTCTTTTGCAGTGCACGAGTAATTATACGGATATGCTTGTTTACATGCGGAAAACGGTTTCTATTAACAACTTTTAATTGGGACCTACTGTGGTTTCTTTTAGATTCACAGATAGTATACACTGGATACAAACATTTGTTTATTGCGCGCATTAATACCAAGTACCATCATGTAAACGATTGCTTTCAAATATATATCGGCAGAATTATAGCTCGTAAATATGAGTTGACACCGAGAACTCGTTTCATTCACAAGCGCAACATTTGCTCAGTAAAAGCGGATTCGGTAATTAGAATCATGTGCTCCCGATAACTCGTGATAATATCTGACAATTAGTGCTGCCAAACATTATAATAACTTACTGTATGTATCAAAAATCTTTATTTCGTTTAAACTTGTCGCTATATCAAAATTCGCAATTGTCAAAGCTGTAATTTATTTCGATTTGTCTCGTTTCAAAGTTTGAGCATATTTCTTGTCATCCACTAAACGTTAGATAATTTGTTTTTTTTAACCCGCTGTCTTTTCTTTTAATTGGTCCAACGAATTTCAGCTTGCAGAATTACCACAAGTGAAATCAAGCGCCTGATGATTTTGATTATCTATATCCCATGCCACGAACCGACGGAAACATATCACGAAGAATCTCTTATAATAGCCAACCAAACAATTTTCGCAGTAAATGCATGAATGGCCATTGGAGAAGATCAAGATTTAAAGTCCATTGGGCCATCTTGGCCTGGCGCTATTCTGCCGGGCGCCTGCAAATGCAATAGACTTCGTGTCTAATGGTACCAATAAGAGGTGGCCCGAGATGCCTGCGACTTTTCAACGTAACATACAGGTTCAGCGCATTGTTTATGTTGTACAGATTATGTCACAAAATTTATTTGTGCTTGCAACAATCGAAAAAGGCATTTATTTAAATTCGATTTATCGACTTTGCATTTAACATGCCGTCATCTTTACTATGGGTTTTTCCAAAATAGTCCTGCAACGTGTTTGGCGTGTAACTGCGTGTTTGCCACAAGCTTTTCGATTGTAAAAAAGCCAGTAATTACGTTTTTTGTCTCCCATTATGCGCTTAGAATCGTTTTGTAATCCATGCTGTCTGTGAAACGTGCTCAGAGCAATTGATTATTGCAAATTGACCCCCACGCTTGTGCTTTGTTAGACAAGCATCCATTCAAATTTGGTAAACTTGAAAGTCAGTTGAGCATGACTGTTCGACTAGTCGAAATGTGACAGAAAGGTTATTATGTATACATAAGATATCACATGTAATTATGATGTATTTATCAAATCTGCAAATGCGGGGCGCGAAGTCTGACTTTTATTACGTAAAACCAGTTTACCTTATCATTCCCATTTTTTATACGTAGCGGTAGCGATGGTTTCCCTTTCTGTAGGGCGGTTGAGTAACAACCTATGAAATAAGTAAATTTGAATACCATCCAGTTTTTGCAGAAGAAATGTTTAATTACAAAGTGTGTTTTTGAAAAAAGATATGTTAACGCACGGTATACGAGCACGAGCGAACAACTATTCCATGATTAATTACAAATAATGCCTGTCAAACGTAATAATTGTATGGCAACAGTATGTGGTGGTTTTAGTGTTGTGAACCAGACTATATTCAAGTAGCAATAGACATATTCGACATATCTGATATCAAAAGACAGTTTCCATGTAACCGGATAGTATGAGATTTCCTTGCAAGAATGCTTGTATGCTTACCAATCGTTTTGCGTTATTAAAAAGCAAGAACCTGAACGGGCAAATAACAGACTGTATAATTAAGCCGTATTGCTACTTTGTTACTATTGGCAAAAAAGAAGAAAGAGCAAACATGCATATAGACTTCTCTCCCCCTTTGTTAAGGTCTAGAAGCGAATTAAAAAGTCGCCTTGAGCAACCTCGTTACTGGAAAATCAACAAGTGATTCGTTATATGCTATATACACATGCTTTGTTATACAACATGTTTGGCAGTTTACCTAGTAGTACTACTTTATTTCGTATGTCTATTCTAATAGGACAAAATTACTGGATTGTGTGAACTTAATGTTCGGTGATTGTGAAAGCCCTGTAGTTTATATAATATAAGTAATATTCGGAAGCCAATCCTTGAACTGAAAGCTTGGCAATCATATTTTGTATACGTGGGAACGAGATTCAGAAGACTGGCGCGAACTTCATTAAACTAACAAGGGTCTTATTAATGTAAATCAATTGCAACAGTTATACAAGTTACACGCCTGGTTTTTATCAATCTCTCTGAGCAGTTCACTCGAGCGCATTTATTGTGGAAACATAAAGTTCTCGTTTCCCTTCTTTAATACAAACTGTTTGCATAGTCTTCATGCTAACGAGTTTTTTTCAATTTTGGTTAACAGAAATTCCATCTTTACTGATGCATTGAGTAAGTACTGTGTAAGATAAAAAAGCGGAATGCAGATGGTGCAATAAATGTGTAACGATTTAACGCCAATTGACCCCAGCCCCCGACCGCAAAATACGATGGCGAAATTACGCTATCGGGCTGTCTTTCTTTATATATTCTAAATTCGGTTGAATTTAAATATTGCTGCAGATGAATGAACATCAAAAAAAGAATTTTTTTTATTGCGGAATACACTAAGATTTATTTTGGGGAAGAACAAATTATTATCTCATGCAAGAGTTGGCGAATTGAGGCTTAACTAACAATTTTAATGATTGCCTTTCGGGGAACGGAACATACTAAAAGCGTTGCCCAAATTCAAAAAGTTAGGCATGCCAAAATAGACTATTTTTCGGTATCCGTTAAAATCATTTCTCCGCCGAAAAATGATAAGAATTCAGTATAAACGGATTGTATATGTTTAGCAAATAAGTGGGCGTTGCGTTATAATTCGTTGCCTTGTCAGACGTCCCCCCGCCCACATTCTCATGAATTCCAATTCCCAAATTTGACCAGTGTGTGGGACGTTGCTCCTAACGCTTAAGATTGATACATATTTATATCTGAATAATTGTATTTTTGGCAGCAACAACAGCAACAACAACAATAACAACAGGTAAAACCACCATTAGGAATCCATGATTGTCAAATAAGCATAAGTGGATGGCGTATATACTTAACGGACAGACTTAAATAACTAGATATGATGTAATTTCGTATCACATCGTATACCAAAACGTGTTCGACGCTGTATGGTTGGTGCGAGGCAAAACAAAAGAAGAATCTTTGTTAGAATAAAGTATTGTCAGGACAGGGATTGAATTCTAAATAGGGTTCGTATTCGCAGCAGTTGGGGTAGCTGACGGGTACTGAAACAATTGAAGATAACAGCGTACGCATGTACGAATATGGACAATATTTATATTAAAAGTTGCACATTACAATAATAAAAGTTAAAGACGATTATTAAAAAAAAAATACTCTTTTTATGTGTATAGCTTTTTATTTCTAAGTTAAAGTTTAGTTTTAGTAATAATGAAAATTTTTTTACAGTCTTCTCCTTTTCGTGCTATGCTAAAAGAAATAAAGGTATAATAAGACTAGGAAAAAGAAGATTGAGTCTGTACATAAGAGTTTTAATGAATAGAAAAAAAGTCTGTTGATTTTTGGTATCTTGTAATTTTGTAATGAGCAAGATTAAAGTTGGTTTGCGCGCACACACACACACACACCACCATGACACATGTACGCATCCTGTTCATATCTTCTTTTGATTGTCCGACTTTTTGTAAAGAATGGGGGGGGGAAAAGTCCATAAGGAGAGTGTAACTACCCCGAAAACCGTATTGTCCGATTCACACTCCTTCTCTCGCTCTCTCTCTCGCTCTCTCTCTCGCTCTCTCCCGTTCATATTACCACCGGCATTCTCGGCAATCTTTGTACGGTATATTGATACTCTCTGCAATCGGAATTATGACCGCGATGGATTGCAGGAGGTAGCAAATGTGTGGAATTATAGCCATACGACATTGGCTGGGATGGTTGTTGTGTAGGCTTTGGAAATACCAGTGATGGCATAGATGTGTTGTATCTGAGGTAGGGTTCAGTGGTGATAGTGGTGGCGTTGGACGAAGGACTTGCAAAGCTTGGGTCTGTCGTCGCAGTCGTTCTTGTGGAAGCGTAATGTATCAACCGAGGGGAACCAGAGAATGGTATTATTGGTGTTGATGCATCGATATCCTTCAATCGGCATGAATCCGAACAGTACAATCCACCCTAAAACACAAAGTTGGTGAGTATATGTGTCTAACAGTCATCACACAATAGTCCGCCCGTCACTATGTTTTCGCCTTGTTTGGGCATTGCGACACTGTCTTGTTTATACTTACCGAAGTGTGTTGCGAACAAGTTAAACACCAATCTAAATCCATTTGGTTTTTTTTTTGTTTTTAAATTAAGATGCTTTTTATAAAGTGCTCGTCTTTTTGTTCACTCAACCGCGCGCTTGTTTAAAAGACCGGTTGCGAGTCGCAAAGGGACAAGGTCTTTATATATTTGTGGCAGTAAAGGTTTTCAATCTAACCATGGAAAGAAAGGGGGGCAGTAGTAGATAAAATTTTCCAAGACTATGCAGACTCGGTATTTATTATATTTGTGGAAATGCCCCGTTACACTTGTTACATCACCAATGAAACGCAAAAAGGGGGGGCGAGCAATGCTGCAATGGCCGAAATTCTGGGGCCTAAAGTAATAGCGAGTAAATAGCGAATATATTGAGTATTGTATTATAATAATATTGTATTGTATTGCATTGTATAAATAATATTTATTATATTATTATATAAATTATGTTATTCTACGTACATATTTGAATGGTGACAACACGGGCGAGCATCGTATTCTCGGCTGCCTTTTCTGAAAGTCCCGCAGGGCACAGCATTAAGCAAAGCCAGGAAAGATGAGTGATATCAGAAAGCGGATTTTATATGACAGCTTGTTAATTGAATGATTATTGTATGGATATGCCTAACTACCTCGTGGATATAATATAAATATATATCATGTGGGAAATGTATAATTTTATATATTAACTTAAACAATTATGTTGATACAGTACAAAAAATTGTCACCATACCCTTTGTGGCCCCCGATCCCGTCCATTCCTCACTCCTATTGGTAGTTAGGCAACATCTCATCAAGAATGATTGACCCATGAATATGAGTCACTCATCTGTCAACGCCGGTTTTTGAATCTTGTTATTCGAACTCTTACCCCACATTGCCAAACAAGGCACTTACTTTCAGCCATATATGCGAGGGGAGAGGTGAAAGGAGTGTGAGTCGCAATTTCCAGCCCAAAAGTAATTTATTCCCATTTTTAGCATGTTCTTTTCTTTACACGAACCACACAGTGAGAACGCCCTGCATGCGCAATGACAATGACAATGGCGAGAAATGCGAAAACGTAAACTCGCATGTATCCGATATGTATTCTTTGCAACGATTAGTTTTTGATAATCTTCCGAATTGTCTTCCGAATGAATTTAAAGCTTAACAAGTTTAGCGATAATCATCTACCTTTTTTACTGCTTCCCCCTTAGTTCAAATTACAGTTAATTCGGTAATGTGTGCTTTGTATTTGGGCGAATGTTCATCAGAAAAAAAAAAAAGACAGTTAGCCCCTGAGAAATATGGGGGAGCCTTTTTTGCATATTCATGGGTTACTTGCCATACTTGGTAATATGAAAAACTTAGATGTCAATATATATCTATATATGCACAAATCGTTCTGCCTATCCCCAAACTACTTTTGATATTCACTGCGATTTCAACTTTATCGATGTAAAAATCCAAACACAGGTGATGGTTCCTTTTTACCTCTTACACCAAATTCGCCACTTGACAAGAATTTGATTTTTTATGACTCTAAATTTGATGATGTCATTAACCCATATAAGGAGTAAATCTCCATAAAGAATATTCTCAGCTAATATTTGTGACCCGAACTAAGAACGGACACCAATAATAGCATAAATGTTTCTATTATGCTTTAGATATTAAGTTAATCGCAAAGAACAATGCAACAAAAAAGCAAAGCAAAAATGTTACATATGGCTATTACTATGTTGTCATGTTGGTGATTGTTGTAATATACGTATGTATGCATATTCTGTATATGTATATGTATATACTTGCTTATGTAGCATGATGCTATCAAAAATGGAACAATTCTTCAACCGAGACTATTTGTCTCATTCAATGTTGTCCACAAAAGCCATTCCACACTCCCCCCAACACACACACATACACACACACACACACGCACACACACACACATCTCTCCCTTCTCTTTCTAGGAGTGCGCTTGTCTCGATCAAACTACTTTGCACATCGGTCATATGAAGATACATTCCCACACTAACAAGGAATTTTTTTAATTTAAATATCCCCACGACTTTTTAATAATGCAAGACAATTATTTAACATAGGAGGGCATACACTCGCATTATTATTTTCAGAGGTACATTAATACAAATGAAGTAAAAAGCACAAACCAATTATCTTTAAATAAAAAGGTTGTAATTGCATGCGTTACAAAATACGACGTTTTATCAAGAACATAAGGGAAACGTTTGATGAGAAGAAAGAATATCGAATATCGAATATCGGGAAACATGAATAAGCTGTGCGATGCTCACGTTAACTTGTAACAGTTGTGGATCCTAATACGAATTCAGGATGATTAAAGAAAAGCACTTTGCAATGTATCAAGCACCAATGTGTGTATGTATACAAGTCGTGTTCAACTGCAGAATCCACCCGCGGCAGGCAATATCAAGACCCCCAGCCTTGGAATGCAACCTTGAAACAAATTTTCCTATCGCCAAACCATTTCAGGAACGATCGAAAAATATGGGCAAAAAGAACAGAAAGAAAAAAGAGCGAAACATGTACGTTAAATAGATTCGCATTTGTGGGATGATACTTTTCATCAGCCCGTCCCACACCCTTTCCGTAATAAAGAACACAATCCGCCAAATGACTCTTCGATCGACAGTGCAGTTTTAATCTCTTCTATAACACTTAAGATTCCCACGAAACGAGAACGAACGAGAAAAAGGGGGGAAAGAAATAATATGTGGTCAATGCAGCTTGTAACGTACCTAGACATGGGCCCTGAACTTGTGTTCTGAACCTAATTCGTCTAACACAATACTGCAACAAATCTAAAATGCATGCACGAATAATTTTAAGCGCCTTTTTTGTTTAGATGCAGCATAGCCCATCGAATGATTTTTTCGTTTACATATTATTTACTATTAGTATTAGATGACTATTGATGGTACATATGGCGTATTATAGACGTTGGGATATTTGTGTGCCGAGATGGTTGTTTTAGCAAAAATCGTCGCATGATAAAACGCTAAAACATTAGCGCTAAGCTTTATAAGGTTTCTTGGCAAAACTTTCAAATGGTTATTTTTAATTATGCGTTCTCGTTTGTATTAGGTAAAGTTACCTATTCTTTATTGATCGTTTTGAGATCACGTTAGAATTTAGATTTGCCACTGATGTATACATTTATTGCTATGTATGCACAATCGGTTCTTTTCACATGTTTATTTGCTCATTAAAAGCCTTTTATGCATGTTTTGCAGTAACCGGTTATTGCAATTATTTCCAGTCTATTTCGGGCAACTACTTTCTAACTTGATTTTTTGCCCTTGCTTCTGCCTTTCCAAAGTTCCGATAGAGATTGATAAGGACGATGATAGTTATGGCGTTTGTGGTTATATCCTTGTCTTGAAATGGTGAAACATGAAACTACGGAAATGCCCCTCCAAAAATAACCTGCGCAGAAGAATTCAGTCAGTTCGCTCATGCATTGATATGCGTAAATTGTCGGTCATCAAACGACCAATATCAACAGCCGGTTTTTATTTTAGAATATCATATTAATACACTAATATGGTCGTATGAACTACCAATATTGGGAATATCCTAATAATTACTGTACACTTGGTCTTTCATTATTCTTACTCAATTCCAATTCCGGTCTTTGTATCTTTTGCGGGTATTATCATCACCTGTCAGAATGAATGCTACACCAACATCGTTATCATTGTGAGTTGATCTAACCAATTAGTGATTTGGTCGTTGCGGAAGAGGGAATAAAAAAAAAGTGTACTAGAGCATATCAAGAAACTCCCCGAGAAATCAAACATTAGTCGTCCGCACCAGCCAACATTAATACACTTGTTATGCAAATCCAAAAGTTATTAAGCTTAACTGTCATTCTAGGTAGGACTCGTCTCATGATCAAGAGGCATTTTGTACACAAGGAGAATTCCTGTCGTTCAATTATATTGACATTGACATTAAAGCCCCGTCGTATATCATATTCATTTGTTGTGAAAGAAAAAAGACATTACCATTATTGTCAAGCCAAAAGACAAAACCTACATCATTCACACATACCTCAAAACCAAATATGGGATCCTGACAAGACGGACTACGTGACTTTCATATGTATAATTGAAAAGACGTCGCATCACCGTTAACTAAAATGCATTTTCCCATTTGAAACTCACAATTATTTGATAGCCCGTATAGAGCCCTTTGTGACAAGAGGCCAACTTTGCCCAAATCTTTATCATCATTGCGAGCTTCAATATATTAACCAAGAATAGAAAGTTCTAAATTCCAAATACAGCAAGTACCTACCCTTTGTTTAACGTGATATAGCGAGATATTTAGGATCGGACTTTGAATTTCGCTGTGCGACAAAAGAGATTAAAGAGAATAATAAAGGTTGGCTACGGGCCTAGACATTCAAAGGAACATGGCAAAACCATTTCTACACGCACTTTGCAACAAATGTCGTGACGCAGTTACACCGATTGACGCTAAAAATACAGCGAGTGGGTGGCTGAGGATTATGTCATAGTTGCCGATTATTAGCAAGCGCAGCTGCGTGCTAATGGCGCAAATGGGTTGAAACGTAACGGTATCAAGGATAAGGAAAGGGGGGAGTAGACACCACACGTTTCGCTTGTCCATATTGGGATGAGTGAATAACAAACACCGCAGAAATGTTTAATACGTTAACTGCCGCAGCTGCAAATGTTTATGGTGATTTACTTTAGGTCATTATATTACAATTACATTGGAAGTTAACTTTATCCCAGTATATTAGTATTTTAGCCATAGAAGATATTATGTGTAGCAATCAGACAATGGTAAATGACTACATGTTATGTACTAAAAATGGTAGAAGATTGGACCAATGTGAATGAGAAGGCTTTATATTTAGTAACACATGCATAAAGTCTTGGGGTAATTATTGCATCAAATGGGACATGCTAGACAAAGTGAACATTTGGATATGTAGCTGGAAATTGTCTAGAGTGACTGATGGTGTTTTAATATGAAAAAGCCTTGAATAGCATTAGTGAGGCTCATACATATTAATATTAATATGGACTTGTTAACTTTAACATTAAATCTATTACTATATTTGACTATGATCAATATACGTAAATATAGGAATATCTATATATATAAAACAATTAATATGAAACGAATTACATTAACGAACTACATTAAATTCACTATGGAACTAAAAATTACAGCATTCTAAGAACAAGGGGGAAAATTGCTCCCAGGAGTATCTACTGTAGATAAAGAAAAAATCACTTATGAAATTTATCAAGAGGAAAGGAAAATAATAAATATTAAGAAAGAAAACAGGATGGGGATGTACCAAATAAAAGCCAAAATATTTACACAAAAAGTTTAATGCAAACAAACATATTATTATTTAAAATTTTGATTACTGCTTATGAAGATAGTTGAAGACATAAATGTTCCCAGTGCCATAATTATTCAAAAAGAAATTGAAAGAATAAGAGGTAAACAAGATCAACATTTTACTTGAAACGATAATTATATACTTGCATGCAAAGGATAGAAAAAGGTGAATGTTTGTCATGCTTGTGATAATTTTAAGGTACACGAAAAACGTACGAATGTTGTATTGTCAGACTTTGGAGGTAAAGTTTTTTCTGGTTTAGTATTGCGATCACAAATTCAGAGTGTTACCATGATGTATTATTACAATGTGTGAACGCCCATGGGCCTAACCTGAGGATTCTTCTCAGCATCGCTTCAGTGATTGGGCTCTTGTGTGACTAGGGCTATAAACTACATCACAATAGCCATCTATGTTATAGCTTACAACGGTCATCACGGTCTAGTCGAATATTCCCGAACCCGACCATCCTTCTAAGGAGGGGGAGAAGCATTCTCTGTCACTTAGTTCAACGACGTTACGTCTGGCGTATTAACGCAACATCATTAACTCTCATTCATAACGAACGTAATAACAAAAACGTTTTAATTACAACATTAACTACAATCGTTGTCTATGATTCTCAACCTTTCGGGAGATTCTTAGAATACCAAACATTTCAACCTTTCATTATAAACAATCATCGAATTAGTCGCAGTACAATAATCGAGTCTCAAGATAGTTATGAGTTAAATCCAATATTAACGTCGATACGCAAAGTCGATGATGTTAAATAAATTTGCTTGGATTCCAATTATCAAATATGCATTTATTTTTAGAATGAGAGTTAGAAATCATTTATTGTTTTCAAGTCATCAAAACTTTTTAATGCTGAAAGCACTAATCACTCGATGCATTAAACGCCAAGTAATCATTAGACGTTCAACTCATTAAGTGCTAAACATCAGGCGCCAAAGCATTAGACATTCGGAATGTTAATATCAAACATCGAGGAGCTGATATAACGGATTTCGCTTGGTACGAATTTTTTTTGATCAATGGGACATTGTTCAATATAACGGAATTATAACTGATTGTTACGACATAATAATAATGGATTTCTGTGCCTGTTCCGAGGAATACTTTCACTGTGTAAATCGTACTACAAATAGTCAAACTTTGATAACTAAATCAGTACTTCGTCCATATTCGGATACTATAAATGGATTGTTCTCTGCATCTGTGATCGTTTCTTGACTTGAACTGAGTGGTGTGTTAATCACTAATAACTACAGATGAATTTGATTATAATATAACTTACATGCATGCATTCTTTCGAGACGAGTTTACACTTCGTCGATCGTTTCATTCTAGTACAAATAAGTGTATGAATAAGTTGGACTTATTTCTTAGAGCTTTAAGAATTGCCTTACCATCACTATCACTTTGGTTGGAACGACAGCCAATAGTCTAGACAACAATAGACAGGAGTTCCCTATTGCTATTACTAAAAAGGAAGAGTCGCATAACTTGCTGCTCAATAGCCTCATAGTCATCTGATCTTAGTCTTTTTGCTTGACTCCGGAATCTACGAGGTCAAGAACATGCCATTCGCTCGAAAAAGGTTGTGAGGAAATAATAACGTTGCGGTGAAGGTTTAAAAATTCAGGGTATGACTATTCTGTGTGCTCATTCAAGTAGGAGATAAAATTCTGTAACAATTTGTTATGACAAGTTAGAAATAAGGAACCCGAATAATTTTTTTTCAGAGAAAACGATCTGCAATAAAAAGACGCGTTTTAGACCACTAACATTCACATGATATCAGATATAAATACATTCATCAAATTTAAACTTTATAATTTTATAACGTAAATGTACGGCTACAAGATATTACAGTATGCAAATAAAGATTAACATGATGATAATCGGTATTATAGGTGTATGATACTTTTGTTGTTATCCATGTGTTAAAGACAGCTTTATTTATGTTATCGTTTTCTTGGTGCGAGCGCTACAACAGCATTATTACTTTTTTAACGTAATGATGAGTTTCAGTAAGTAGCAGCATACAGAAGCTGTATGCGTGTTTGAGCATAATGATGTCACTACGGTACAAAAGCGTTGTGTCTATTGTATCGCCGGTGGACAGTCTTTGTTCAGCTTACGTAACGTAGGCGAAATGCGATCCAGTAACTGTACGCGTACGGGCGCGTAAGGATAACGATACGGGTATTACTGGTTACGACGCAGTCGCAATAATACGCCAAATACGCGTTACCATTCTGACGCTGCTTTAAAGTTCAGCCAATTCTGCTAAGTGTTTATGCATATATTCAATTTCTACTTAAGATTCTGTGTCAATCTTCTGCGCACACATTGGCAACAGTTAGCTATTAAGTTTGCGCGTGACTTATGTTGCGTGCAAATCTCGGTTCAAGAAACTTGCTTTAGTAAAATATTACCAAGGAATGAGTAAACAGTATCATAAAATCACAGACCAATGAAGGAAAACGCATGGTCAAGCGACAACCATCCGATCTCACAAACCGGATGACACTTGCAATGGCTTCTCAACAACGTCCCATGTATCCTATTCATCACAGCTGCCTGAGCGCGCCGTGAGCTCAGACGACTCTTCGGAGCGGATATCGAACGTTTACAAAAGTAAATCATCCATCGCTCAGGCACCCAACTACTTTTGTGTGATCCTATTCACCAGGTTCAGTAACGGTTTTCGATTAATTGCACTCTGCGTGCTTTCAAAAACTCGATTTACACCTATCGTGGCAGCGTCCCTTCAGTTACACAAATGCTAAGCAATCACCCTCACGACAAACAATCTACAAGTGTGACCACGGAGAGCTGTCGAACATCCGGCTTTTACACCTAGTGGCAGCGTGCCTTCGGATACAGACCCTCAACTAATTTACCCAGTAAGAATTCTTACCTCGAAAACATTATCGCGTTGGTGTAATATCGCTAAACCGTGCCGTTGTGAGTAATTAGAGTTTGTCTCGTTCGCGTCTCGTATGTAATATGGAGTAATAGTAGAGGACTCTTGACCGTTTACTGTATATAGTATGTGTATAATATGGAGTGGTGGGTTGTATATTGTTAGAAGACAAAGAAGTTGTAGTGAAGCAATAGAAGTGCCTGGGTTTATATATGTAGACGCGTGTTCTTAGATGATGGCACATATGTTTGTACTACTTGATAACCGATAAGTATAAATGTTGTTATCTATGTGTGAGAGTCTGCAGCTGTCAAACTCAAAAATGCGTATGTTGTGCCTTTTACGTTTTTATATTCCTTTTTCGTTCAATCATTTGTTTAATATAATATAACAGATGACGTAATGCTGCTGATAATATAAGCCGTACATATAAAAACTCGTTCTTTACGATAGCGATGATAACACCAAAAAGTCTTTACATCTAATAAAAAGCATTATGATAATCGGTGAAACGTTTTGGAGTGAATATTACCAGTCAGGAGATAATAACATATTATTGCAATTGTCATAATTGGTTCCTTAAATAAGAACAAGACATTTCGGTGTAAAAAAAATTTTCAATTAGGGGTAAGGGGTAATGACTAGCAAATTTACTGCGGAATAAGCCACGCGTATAAAGACTAATATTTATGAGAGCGATAAACAAATGTTATGGGAATGCATTCCAATTATTTGCTCTCGTCTCCATTCTTACGAATTTTTACGTTTGTGGCTAAAAAATGTATCAAATACACATTAAAAAGGTCGGTTATAAATAAATTATATATTAATCACAATCAACTTGTTGCAAAAAAAGTTAAGTATAACAAATAAAAATTTGAACTTCACTAATTGAATGCATTTTCCTCAGATTCTACGAGACAAAAAAAAACGCAAGTCTGGCAGCCACTATCTTAGTCTAATATAAAGCACAGTTAGGTATTTACTAATGGCTAGTTCCTCGACTAATGTTCATAGGTAGATAATAGAAGTAGGGCATAGCATATGTAATCTTACAATATAGATCCGAGTTTAATTTTTATTTTATCTATATGTATTATGTTTAATATCTTGTTGTCGCAGGTATTACTCGTAGATGTAGACAATAAAGAACGCAAATCTCCAAAAGTAACCATTCCCAGACAAAAAAGCAGTCCGCGAAGTATCCGTAATTGTATTCTTCAATACCATATTCCTCACACTCACAATATTAAGAACTATATATACTGTTGAGGTAAATAAATGTTACCTTGAAATCATTTAAACTTTTGTCTGCGTCAGATGTTTCGTCATAATAAGAGGAACGTTAAATTCCAAGCTTTTTTTCCACATGAGAATGTGAACCAAATTAATTCTTGCGGAAACTTCACCTCCATTTCCCCTTCTTGTTTTATGCTGAAGTAGATTTTGCGTAATCAGCTATTTTAATTTTTAAGCATAGACATTGACACATCGTCAAAGAACTAAATCTCATTATATAACAAATATTTTTATGTATCATCCAATTACTAATCGTGCGATTGTTCGCTGTAAATATATAATACGAAGTTGTGTTCATGTTTTCCAGACTTGTATTATTTCCTTCTTTAGGCCTCTGTTCGTTGTGACGGATTCTACATCCCTGCTTTTAGAAGTGTGCTTCTCGACAATATAAGCCCTATCATTCTTGTTATGTAAATATATGATTATGTAGTTGTGATAATAATAAACTAAAACTTGACTATAATGGTTGATCGTTAGGCGCCGAAATTTCGGTAGAACAAATCGGACATAACCAATGTGTTTATTTCTGGCTAAAAATAGGTTAGTGGGGATCAACCGACGTATTAGTATGTAGAACAGCTATTTTATTATCCTTATTACATATGTTAATATTCACTACTGCGCCGCGCTATACAATTGGATTACGACATCTGTTGCCGAAAGAATGTTTCTTTGAACCTTTTCGCTTTTTCCATTCAAGACGTAGTTATGGCACAGATCGAAGTAGACGCTCTACCTGAGATATTCGCCAATAATTTTTGGGTATGTCTTGAGCAATAACAAAGAATGAATACAATCGAACTGAGGTTTCCCTATGGATAGCAGATCATTGATATAATGTGTTAATGCTTTTTGATGAATAGGGTAAGGACGAGGCAGGCTATGAAGCCCTTGTAACACGCCTTAGAGAGGCACGTCAGACATGTGAAGAACTAAAAGCAATGTTTCATGAAAGGTTGGTACATGCAATTGAACAGATCTATTTTGTTTCTGTAGCAGTAATAGACTTATAGTCAAACTATAAGTGATGTGGTTATCGATCTTAATTAACAGCAGATTTAGATCCCTACTTTATACTTACGCTCCTATCAACAAACTCAAAACAACAGAGCAGTTATTGAAGAAGACTATGGTCGTCGGTTGCTAAAATTATCTAAAGCTCCGCTTGGCAAAGATGAAACCGGTACCCTTCGGGAGGCATTTGAGACAACACGCACCGAATTAGAGACAAGTGGAAATTCACATATTGAGCTTGCCCAACACATTAGAGACGAGCTGGAGCAGCAACTTAATAGTTTTATTGTACAACAAAAGGAAAGAAAACGAGAGGTACATTACAAATTTATAATGGCAACGATATTTTCACTCCAGGAATGAACAATTATAAATATTCTAACCTTGCTTGCACCACGTTGCAGCAAACAGCGATCGTTGACAGAAGTCTCCGGAATAAGCAATTACAGATGACTTATGTCCAGAGGGTAATCAATGAAGTCAATCATATTAAATTTAATCAAGTACCATGTGCAACTTAGCTAATATTGTAATATGACCAGGCAAAAGAAAAGTATGACGGAGAATGTATTAAATTGAATGGATTGATGTCATCAAGACAATCGGCAAGAGGAAAGGAGCTGGAAAAGGTGATTACGAATATATATCAATTGCACTCGAATACGTAGTAGTTAACAAATTTATGGAATGGTTTGTAGTTAAACATGAAAATCGAAAAGGCTCAGCAGTCGTCTCAAATGGCAGGTTAGCATCATGTTAGCATTATGAATATTAGTTTGATGTTGGATTGAGTCATAGAGACATCAAGATAACGAATTCTATATCCCGTATTGATTGTTTTGTCAATTCACTTAGATCAAGAATATAAGCATTTTGTTAAGACAATGGTCGATTTAACACAAAGATGGAATTACGACTGGAAAGCGGCTTGTGATGTAACTATTGTCCGAATATTGAATGAGTTCAAGTCGTCACTTTGAAGCTCATCAATTTAATCTATTCCTGTAGACATTTCAAACCTTAGAAGAAGAAAGAATAGACTTTACAAAGAACAAAATATGGGCATATTCAAATTTAATAGCAACTGCGTTAGTGGTAGATGATGAGGTATGAATTATTTATTTTTCACGCTGCTTTATTCTTACAACTTGTATTCTAAGCCTCTGTGATGCAATTTCATCTGATAACAGTCGTGTGAGAGGATCAGAATGACGTTGGAAAAATGTGACGTAGCCAAAGATATTGCGACGTTTATAAAGGAACGAGCGACAGGGCCGCAAATTCCAGGCATGTACACGACTAGTGTTGATTTGCAAATGATTACTCGGTTTTAAGACGATGGTATTGACACACTCTCATATTTCTGCAGAGTCAGTTTCATATGTCAACTTTTACGCAACGCAGAAGGATCCGGGACTGCAATACACTACGGCGGATTTCGAAAGAAACCAACCATACGTTATTAAAACTGTTGCAAATCCCGAGTTAGATACACCAATAGACAATCAAATTTCTTCGATCACCTCAGCGACACAGCCGCCTTTATCAAATGCAACACGATTAAATACGTACACTCCCCCGCAGTTAACCTCCGAATCTACTCCGGCATTTATTAATGATCCAACAACCGGCAGTAGACGAGCGTCTCTATATGCCTCCGTATCCTCCTCCAATGCAATGAACGCTACAACTAAAGATGCCCCGCTTCCAGCAACACCGGACGCTATCACCGATGAGGAACCATTAAATCCACAAGCACAACAAATACTTACCGTAGGCTCTAATCAATTTTCAGTGAATACCACCGCGTTCATAGATGATCCAATTGCGGCAGCATTGGCGGAACTGGAACGTGCAGAACAGTCTGAGGGCAATCTAGAACAACGGACTACGTCTGTTAATTATACATCCACTCCATCATCTGACATGTCGAAGCCATCTATTCCACCTACTAGTACAAACGCGACCATAATACCGCCATCATCACCGCCACCCCCATCATCACCACCGCCGCCATTATCACCTCCACCAACAATACAGCAGCAGCAGCAGCAACAGCAACAGCAACAGCAACAGCAGCAAGAACAACAAGAACAAGAACAACAAGAACAAGAACAACAGCAGTTGCAACAACAACAGTTGCAACAACAGCAGCTGCAGCAGCAACGGCTACAACAACAACAGCTACAACAACAACAGCTGCAACAGCAACAGCTGCAACAGCAACAGCTGCAACAACAACAGCTACAACAACAACAGCTGCAACAGCAACAACAACAACAACAACAACAACAACAACAACAACAACAACAACAACAACAACAACAACAACAACAACGACAACTACAACAGCAACAGTTGCAGCAAGAAGAACTGCAGCAAAAACTATTACAGCTGCAGCGGCAACGGCAACAAGAAGAACAGATCCAAAATAATTCACAGACCCAGGCTACATACAATCCTCCTTCACAACCTCCTCCGGATTACTTTAATTCAACAACTATTCCTCAAAAACCCGGATTTCCTCAGTCATCCCAAGCACCGCCGCCTAATGTTTCGTCAACTAGTGGAGCGCCACCACAACAGCAGACGTCTCAATCAGTAAACCAAGAAACAATTCGCTCTGACTCAAATCGCACGTCTGGTGGTAATGCTGTACTGGGCATCACTCTCGATGCACAAGGGCGAGTAATTCAGGATAGTCTTGCTGAGGAATATGTTGCTAACGGTAATCGTCTTCCCCTGGATTCTGCTCGATTTCAAAGTGTTAACAACGCGACGCGAAATTCGGTCGATCGCGGTCAATCCTCCATTCAGGCACAACAATTTCGCACTTCTATGTATCAAGCGGCCCCAAATGGCCAGTATGGAGCGCAGGTTCAATCAAACGCCTCGATGCGTGCCCAATCTTTGACAAACACTCAGTCTCAACGACTCAATCCGGTAATGACGCGGAATAGTAGTCTAATTAATTCGCCTCCAAGATACCTATCCGGGTCGGGTCATCCACCAGCTGTGCTGCAAGGACAACCGGGACCTTACCAGCAAAATAGGGGACCAAATAACTTTGGAAGTCAACCGTCTACAATGCAGAGACATTCTACAATACAACACAAATATGGTGGTACCCCTGGAAGGATCAGTTACAGTGCTGACGGAAAACCGATACTATTTCATGGTGAGTAAAAGGATATGTGTAGTATCTATTAGAAAAGGGTTGTAAAGAGAAGAAATTAAAAAGAGATGGGAAGAACCGGATAACCATACACAAACTATATTAATAAATGCCTTCTTTTTTAAACAGTTAGAGCAATGTATGATTACACATCTAATTTACCCGAGGAAATGTCTTTCAGAGTGGGAGATATTATTGCCATTTTCAGGACTCAGGATGATGGATGGTGGGATGGTGAAATTGTTGACAGTAGAGTTCGTGGATTGTTACCAAGCAATTTTGTAGTGACACTGTAGTGTGAGAATACAACCAATATTCATTCAGAATGTTTTACAGTGATGTAGCCAATTTTCTTGTATGTCTTTAATTTTGGTTTCGTCTTGTATTTGCTTCTTTATTTTATAAGCTTAATTATTCGTATCAATTTATCTTGCAATTACTTTTTCTGCGAGTTGTACATAACAAGGACTAATGTTATTATTCTTGTTGCAAGTAGAAAGTAAAAATCACATGGTTTTCTAATATATTTATAAAATTTTCGTAATATCGAATATTCTTATCCCCAAGCGCTTCCTTAAATCTCTCCAAACACAACTGTCTTGCAACTTTATGATTGACAATTGGTGCAGGATATCTACGAAAATAATTTAATTATAATGATAGTGTCAA